CCTTTTTCGATTAAGGACTCTTTCTATAAAAGGATTGAGATTCGGAAAACGTGGTGACGCTTCGCAAGCGTAAATCATTGCGCGCTAAACCACCACCACGAACCACCACGAAAATATTTGCTGTAAGACCCCCCTCCCCCCTGAAAGACTTAAGAGGCTACTGGGGCTTGACAACGTTCGTCATTCTGGTCTGCAGAGTGGATTGGGATACTAATACAACGAGAATGCAACCACTAGCAACCACTACATGCCTTATACTCGAAGGAATCACATTTTACTCTAGAAATGTGGTAAACCAGAGTTTATGACACTGCCCGCCACAACCGGATGCGCGGAGCCAAGAAGCGACGCCGTTGACGTGCCCTTCCTATTCTCCGTCTTCTGTGGATGGTTCGGACCAATAAAACTTTTTCCAGGTTCCGCCCTCTCAACAACTCCAGACCGTAACTGATTGGGAAACTGGCTTTGTGGAAGCCTTAGGTGGGAAAAAAAGACAAAAGCCATCCTATCCCACCCCCCGCAGTTCACGGCAAGAATGGCACATACCGAGCCAAAGCAGCCGAATCTATTTAGTAAACTAGAAAACGAGAAGAAACAAATACAGAACACCTATTTACACTATTTCTTACAGTCAGAGAAGTTCTATAGCTCAACGGAATTGGTTGAGCAATCAAAAATTCAACACTTCTTGAAGCAAAGGAAGAATACACTTCAGTTGAAATAACAATTATACCCATACTCAACCAAAACTGGCCTATCAATTCCAGAAGGCTTCTATTGTATTGGTTTATCGACTCGATTCGGATCATTTACAACCATCACAGCCTTTTTGTACCACTCTTCACCATTCTTATGGATATCCTCGGTTTTCTTCGCCACCAGTTCGTCAGGGGTGCCTAGAAAAAGGAAAAAAGTGACAAGAAACCAATGAACGGGCGCACTTCAAGAGATCACCATGGTGCACAAACAAATATTACTTGCTAGTTGACTTGGCATAGCACTTTGGCGTCAGGTGACTTAGGTTACGGCAACATACGTCCTATACATTTGATTTCACGGCCTCACTACGAAAAACTAACACAGAATAATTGCTTTTTTCATTCAAAGTTTCCAGGGTTATGGGCAAGCCTTCAGTTGAACTCAACCTAAATCATGCTGAAATAGCTGGAAGTGATATTTGGCCAAATTCTGAAAACGAAGATTGTTATGATCTAACTAATCTGACGAAAGTAGGTGAGTGAAGCCAACTAGCTAGAAATAGAA